CTCTCTCCCTGTCTAATCTGTCTCTTCTCTCTCTCTCTGTCTGTCTCTCTCTCTTCTCCTCTTCTCCTCTCTCTCTCTTCCTCTCTTGCTCTCTCTCTCTACGTCGTCTCTCTCTCTAACTCTACTTCTCTCTTCTCTCTCTCTCTCTATCTCTCCCTGCTCTCTCTCGGCTCTCTCTCTCTCTCAGTCTCTCTCCTCTCTTCTCTCTCCTCTCTCTCTCGGTCTCTCTCTCTGCTCTCTCTGGCTCTCGATCTCTCTCTTGCTCATCTCGTCTGCTTCGTCTCATCGAATCGTCTTCTCTCTCCTACTGTCGCTGCTCTGCGTCTCTGCTCTCTGCTATCTCTCATCTAGCTCTCTCAGGTACCGCGTGTCTACTGTCTCGTCGTGCTTCGTTGCGTCTGTCGTGTGTCTATCTACGTCGTCCCTTGCTCTCTCTCTACTCGTGTCTATTCTACTCGTCCTCGTTGTCCTCCTCTCTTGGCTTGGCTCTTTTCTCACTTATCCACCTCCCTGTTATTCCCTTTCTCCTTCCCTAGTCACTCATCTCCGCTTCTCATCTGAGACGTCTTGCCTGTCTGGTCCCCTCTCCCTCTCCCCTTCCCCTCCCCTCCCCTCCCCTCCCGCTCCTCCTCTCCTCTCCCCTCCCGCTTCCTCTCTGCTCCCCTGCCCGCATGCTTGCCTCGTTCGCCATCGTATCCCTGGCGTTCCCTCTTCCCTCTCCTCTCCCTCCCTGCCCCTGCCCTCCATTCCTTCCTGTTCCTCTCTATCTCCTCACATATACATGTCCTGTCATTCGTCCACTGTCTCGTCTCTGTTTACAAACACAACAGAAGAGATTCCCTGATTGCAAATGCTGCATGAATGAGCGAGGACCGTAGCGTGACTCTAGCTTGTGGTATGTGTCATGTCATGTCACTGTCATGTCACTGTCACTGTCATGTCAGCTTGGCCTTTTCATTGATTCATTTATCTGTTTATCTTTCTTTTAATCTTTGTGTTTTTGTTTCTCTCTCTCTCCCCTTGGCCTTTTCATTCATTCATTTATCTTTTTTTTTCTTTCTTTCTTAATCTTTACGTTTTTGTTTCTCTCTCCCTCTCCTCTTAGCCTTTTTCTTTTATTAATATCCATTTGTCTTTCTTTTAATCTTTACGTTTTTGTCTCTTTCTCCCTCTCCTGTTGGCCTTTTCATTCATTCATTTATCCATTTCTCTTTCTTTCTTAATCTTTACGTTTTTGCCTCTTTCTCCCTCTCCTTACGGTCATTTCATTCATTCATTTCTTCATTTCTCTTTCTTTTAATCTTTACGTTTTTTTTCCTTTCCCCCTCTCCTTTTGGTCTTTTCATTCATCCATTTATCCATTTCTCTTTCTCTTAATCTTTACGTTTTTGTCTCTATCCCCCTCTCCTTTCGGTCTTTTCATTCATCCATTTATCCATTTCTCTTTCTTTCTTCATCTTTACGTTCTTTTCCCTTTCTCCCTCTCCTTTTGGCCTTTTCATTCATTCATTTATCCATTCGTCTTTTCTTTCTAATCTTTACGTTTTTGTCTCTTTCTCCCTCTCCTTTCGGTCTTTCATCATCCATTATCCATTTCTCATTCTTTCTTAATCTTTACGTTTTTGTCTCTTTCTCCCTCTCCTTACGGTTTTTCCATTCATTTCTCTTTCCTTTAATCTTTACGTTTTTTTCCCTTCCCCCTCTCCTTTCGATCTTTTCATTCATTCATTATCCCATTTTCTCTTTCTTTTAATCTTACGTTTTGTCCCTTATCACCCTCTCCTTTCGGTCTTTTCATTCATTCATTTATCCATTTCTCTTTCTTTTATTCTTTACGTTTTTTTTCCCTTTCTCTCCCTCTCCTCTTGGACTACAGAGAAGACCTGTTCATAATGCTTTATTGCAGTTTTATTTACAGGCGGTTCGTCGGGCGGGTCCAGCGGGGAACTGAGCTACTATATTCCCGTCTTCATGGCCGAGATGGCAGCACCTGTCTCCACGAGAGGTACGGGGCTAAAAGTTTTTTTTTTATTATTATTTTTATATAGGGCGTGTGTGTGTGTATGGAGATTGATACGTGAGGTTATAGATAAGTGGTTGTGTGTGTGTGTAGTGTGTGTGTGTGTGTGTGTGTGTGTGTGTGTGTGTGTGATGGTAATTTTCCTTAACAATGATGATAATTACGATGAAAATAGTAATACTGATGATATGATTTTAATGATTTTGAAAAAAATACCAATTATAGAACAATTAATGACAATGCAACAAATGATGATAACAAGAACAATAACGACGATGATAACAAAATTACAGAGTAATCAGTGACCTAGATAACGAAGTGATGGTGACAAGCAAGTCGATGTAATAGCGGCACGGTGACGCAGCAATATTTCGTAAAAAAAAATGAAAATCAGTTTTCTTACTATAGTGAATATGTCTCTTTTGTAAATCTTAAATCTTTAGGTTTATTAAACAATAACGACGATAATAACGAAAATAA